ATTAATTATTATATTTAACAAAAAAATTTGAATTTCAAAAATAAAATGTTGTAAAAAATAAAAATATATGTACTATGTTTAATATTTTTCAAAAGCTTGAGGGGTAACTTGTCAACTACTAGAAAGAATTCTGTTAGTCAATTAACGGAATGTTTATTAAGTATACAATTTTAAAATAAAATTAATAGTTTATAGATTATTTTAAAAAAATTATTTTTAAATTAAATTAAAATAAATCATATAGTTAATAAACTATTTATTTATTAAATTTAGCCATTTGAGTTTTAAAGATTTGTTTGGGTCATAGAAGTCTTATGGTATGAGGTTTGGTTTGTGTTCTCTAGGCTTTTGTTTTTGGATCATATTGGACTTGTGAGCAATGCTAGGGGTACTCGCCAATTGCACTCTCCGACCAACACTTTCATTGTCATTGGGCCACGTTATTTTGGTTGGAGCGGATGCACTGCTTTATAGAAAGGAGGCTTACGTGGCCCAATAAAAAAGCATGTGCCGGTTGGAGAGTGCAGGAGACGAGTGCCCCTAGCATTGCTCTTGACTTGTTATGCAAATGGGCTGTCTTTGGCTTAGTGTGTACAAAGGGTAAAAACTTACTTTTAATCTGTTATATTAATAAATTTATAAGTTTTAATTATTTATTTTACAGTATAATATTTTTAACTTTTTATCTTTATGAATAGAAAAAAATAATCCCTCATCTTTACTAATTAAAGAAAATAACCCCATTACCTTTATGAATTAAAAAAATAATCTTTATTTAATATCAATTTATAACATTTGTTAATTAACTGTTAACATTCTATTAACTCTATTCCTATCACCATTAACATTCTATCAGTTGACTGTTAACGAAATGTTATGTTAACAGTCAACTAATGAACATTATAAATTTATGTTAAATAAATATTATTTTTTTCAATTCATATAAGTAAGAAGTTAAAAATATCATAATATAAGTTGAGAGGTTAAAAAACTATAAATTTATTAAGATAAAAAATTAAAAAGTAAGTTTTTACCCTTTATCCATGCACTGCAATTGAGTCTTCTGAATTTGATTCCACTTTTTGAAGTCCTTTTCCAGTTGATCCTCCCTTGATCCACCTAGATCGGAGTCGTCACCTTTTAAGTCCGTATTTCATTTTTAAACTTTGAAGTGATTTTGAATAGAAATTTTTTTTTTGGTGATTTAGTTAGTTAATTTTAGGGTTTTAATAAACGTTTAGTTGACTATTAACAAGAGTATTTAGTTTTGTGAAACTCTTTACTAAATCCATATTTAGATAAGGAGTTTAATGTAATAAATTGCTTATCCTTGTGTGCTAGTAGCAAGTGAGGAGTTCCATCAATCCAAACTACTAGGCAAACAGTTGATTTGGTTGATCTAAGGCCGTGTTGTTGGATAAAAAAAAAAACTTAAAATAGATTTTAATTTTTCTTTTTGTTGAAGGAAAAAAATGTGTTTGGTTCAGGAGTGAAGAAAAAGGAAATTTTATGCAGTGCTTACCAACTAACAATCCTTCCGATGACCATACCACATCTGCATCAGTGCATGAAATAGACATTTAACAACATATATAGCCATTTGAGCGAAAAGCTATATATATATATATATATACACACACTTTGATAGGCAGGACAATCATCCCATCTGCTTTGCTATGCAGGTCATAAGTATCAAAACAAAGGAAAAAGGACCATTCCAAGCATTAGAAGAAGAAAAAAGAATCATTAATTAGAAAAATGGGAAACATACAAATACATTGGTTAGCTTCTTACAAACTTTTAGGAACATGTATTCCTCCATTGTATATATCAAGAAATATACGCTCTCGAAAGTGGGGCATGTTGCCTTGAGAAAAAGGAAAACCAATGCAATTGGTATGCGTAAGGCAATCAGCATACTTCATTACAAAGATGCCACAGTCAATTCCACTGCCACATCAAAATTAAACAGAAATTAACACTGCAATTACCACATAAGATCATAACAATACTAATCCATGGAATAAAAATCAACTAGTAATATATAATAAATAATAAACATTTATTATTAAGGAGACTCACTTTTCTTGCTTAGGAATATCTCTTGGAACAAAGAAGGGCCAATCCCTAGCATTGTTCAGACCCATGGCAGGCAACAACGAACCTTTAAACCATTCTGGAATTCTTTCATAATTACTAGGCATTTGCATTTCTGAATCTTTTCGAGAATCCAACCATACAAATTTCTGTTCCTTGATGTCCACATAGAAGAGAATCCAATGGTCTAAATAGCACAATGGTAGAAACAACTACAATGACAAGAAAATTAGCAGATCATATATGTAGTTGTATTTATTACTGAACTTAGGGCAATATAGATAAAAAGCTAACTGACAAACACAAAGATAATACCTTGCATGTACTGATTTGTTCCACAGGGTTGATCCAAGTTGGTACACTGGGCTGGTCTCCGCCAAGCAACAAACTCTGAAAAAAAAATAGTGTGAATTAATACATCATATTTTTAGGTGGTCATTTTTATATGTGTTCAAAAATGATATATTTATAATATTATATGGTATTGTAATCTTAAAATCATGATGTGGATGATACTTACAGTTGTTGAAGAATCCAAGCTAGCGTTCTTTAAGAACATACTAGGATTTTCTTTGGACCTCTTCATAAGTAAAAGAAAGTATTTGTTTACGACCTTTCAGAGAAAGAGAAAATGTTACATTGATCTAAACTAACTAATTTGGGCATTGAAATGATTAATAATTAATTATGAAACAAACTTGAGAAAACTAAAGTAAGGTTATTCGAATAACGATTTACCTCATCTCCAATATAATACGTTTGGGGTGTTCCTTGTATAATGTCATCAACTAGAGGGATGACAAGAGGAGCTAAGAATTTGTCTTGGACCTTGAATTCCTCATCTAGTCCAACACATTGTCTGTACAAACAAAAGTTGAACTCCTCGATAAGGTTTCAAATTGTATGTCTCATATTGTAGTTTATTTTGATATTAAAACACATGCATACCCTGTTATCTTACGATTCTTCCATTTTCCCAAAAGCTCTAAATCCTCGTGGGTAAAATCCGAAAGCAGGTACTACAACCAAAAAATAGACAGAAACATTACAATATTCACATGATGATTTGTCATATGTATGTCATATACAAGTAATAATAAAAAATAAATATCAATAAAATTGATGGAAGCGCTTGGTATACTAAAGTAAAATTGTTAAATGTCACTTTTAGTCCTTAAACTTTTAATTTTGAAAATTTTGAACATTTTTAATTCTTAAACTCTTTTTTGCATTTTTTTTTTTTTGTCTCTAAACTATGAAAAACGTATTTTCTAATATTTCTATTAGTTAATCCATTCAATCTGTACAAATATGTATACTTTTTAGTTTCTAAACTTATAATATATACACATTTTTAATTCATAAACTTATAAGTTCAAGGATTAAAAATATATATATAAACAAATTTAGCAGACTAACAAATGGAAAGACTAAAAAAGTATATTTTTCATAATTTAATAATGAAAAGAGTACAAAAAAATAGTTCAAGGACTAAAAATATTCAAAATTGAAAGTTTAACAACTAAAATTGAGATTTAACCAACTAAAAAATAAAATGGATAAAACCTTTTTTGACCATGCTCTCCGCTTCCTCATTAACTTTTCATCACACTTTTCATCGCATGCTGCTGCAAGCCAAGAATGAAAATTTTAATATGAAACACAACTAGCAGTTGCATAATCAAATTTCTATTCTGTAATTGTGGCATATGCATGTATCATCACGAAGCTCATTTTTGTACCAAAGCCTATGTTATTTTATGTTAATATGTAAATATGAGATTTAATCATATTTCATCTTGAAGTATAAACTAGAAAAAATATATATTTATCAAATAAATCAAACGAGTCAATTAACCATAAGAGACCAATAAAATTTTGTCGAAGAGTACCATCACATAAAAAACAGTACTTACATGGTTTTGTTGATTCCAACCAATCTTGACAACAGATTATTGCATTTATGATATGTGATTCTTGATGACCATAGTTTGAAATAATCTTCGTAATATCTTTGGCAAATGCAGAACTTGACATAATGGTTGATAAAGGTATGGCCAAAATATCACGAGCCACCATCCCCAATGTCGGAAATCTTGAGCTGTTGTTGCACCACCAATTTAAAATGTTAATTTCCATTGTGGAGCCTTCATCCTCTTCCAAATACTTACAAAGTTCTGGTTGACTTCGCTTGGACACTTTATACTTCCTAAAGGAGTCAAACACTTTATCATCAGTATTAGCCAATGATGAAGAACAAGGATCCCTTATGGCAGTAGTAAATTTTGTGTGATTGCTGCAACTACTAGCATATTTATCATAAAGATTTCTAAGAAAATTAGAAATTTTGTCCAAGTGTTCCTTTGCAATAGCATCCTCATAGATTTCCTTGTACACAAACTCCACAAAGTCAAGCTTCAAGGATGGGTGAAGAATAGCAACAATTGCCAAAATCAAGCTACAAATTCTCCAATTATTACTGCATTCCACATTCATCAAAGTATAACCTCTATTTTCCTGGTGATTCATCTTCATCTTCTCGTACACTTGATAAATGCCTTTTAAAGATATATCTGCAATCACACAATTTATGTCTCTAATGCACTTATCATAACTGAGGTAGAAAATACCAGAAGGCCATATTTTCTCTTCATGAACTATCTCAACATTAGACAAGGAACTGTGGATTGTTAAGGAACATGTTTTCTTTTCGATATTCCAATCCAAAAGCACTCTCTTGAAAATCTCACATAATGATGCTGCATCAAAATCATGCCCTAATCTGTCAAAACTAAGAATCTTCTTCTTCAATGTCCAACTATCATCAATAAACTGTACTGTCAAGCAACAATTCACAATCTCTTTAGTATCATCCTCCCACAAGTTAATTGTCAAATTAGTGTGTGAAGAGAGCTTGTCAAAATATCTACAAAGTTTATGCTTCTCTTCATTGTAAACATGAAGTATGTGAGGTTCAAGATTTTTTTCAGGTTGAAACTCAAACTCTTGCAGCGACATTTTGAAAAGATTCCTGAAATGTTCATCATGAATTATGCTCAACGGAAGCTTGTACTTAATAATTACCCTTGCCATATCCAAATGAATCTTGCCTTCATCCAACACATATTTTTCTCTAAAAGCACTTTGAGGTTCTAAATTTTTACATGGAAGATTTGATAATTGATGTACATTTTTAATTTTTCTATGATGATTTTCAAAGTGTTTTCTTAGGTGTGATGTCCCTTTTTTGCTCGAACCATCTGTCTTAAAGTCACAATATTTACACTTGGCCAATAATTCCCCATCTACAACTTCTTCCTTTTCAAAATGATTCCAAACATCAGATCTTGATATTCTTTGTCTTTTGTTTCCCTATCAATGAATAAGTTGTAATTGAATTCAAAGTTAGAAATTAAATAACAAATCTTGAATTTGGTTAATATACCAGTAGAATATAGACATATATTTAAGCTCTTAATCACGATTGTATATAAAGATAAAAGGGGAAAAAGAATATATACAAGAAACCATGACACCTTTCATCACAATTTCGTAATGATTCCAGTAAAAATAAGGTAATAAACCTATATCAGTTTGTGAGGCATTAGGTTTGAATATGATTAATTTATAATAACAGGTACCTGTTTGTGAGGCACTTGCATAGTTGTAACATGATATTCAGCTATCTGATTATTCCCACTAGTGGATATTCTTCCATTCAAATTAAGATCACCAATTGGTGGAGGCACTATATTCTCTCTCGATGCCTTGACATTTGAAGTTGCACTTACATGTGGCTGAATAGGAGCACCCTGAATGTTGTAGTTTACAGCGTAAGAAGCATATTTACAATTCCACAGCAATACTAAGACGATACACTGCTTTAGTTTATGAGCATTTTCAATACAATTACTTATAATAAACAATACCTGTTCATGAGGCCATTGCAAAACATTCCCATCCCTTGAGTTAACCACAAAGGTTTTTCCTTTAAAACCTTGAGCTCGTAGATTGCCTTGTGTGGGCATGGCATCTAAAACTCCAGTGTAAAGTAGCTGATCAACAAAAGAAAACTGATGGATATTGCAGTCCTAGTATATTCACAATTACATAAAAATACCAAAGAAAGTGCACAGGAAATAGGTTCCACATCATTTATAGCAAATATGGATACCTGTTGCATAGGCAATTGCCCATCCATAGCATTTCCAACTGTCTGGTTAATCAGATTTAAATTGAAATCCCTAGTTGATTGAGATGGTGGATTGCTTCTCACGTGCATGGTATCTGAAACTGCAGTGTCATGCTCAGCTAGCTCAACTAGAGGGTGCTGATTACCATAGGTGACAAAACGTGGCATTGCATTTTTCAAGTAATCTATGATACGGTGTGCCCACAGTTTTTGTGTCTCAAGTTGTATCCCAAGTTGTGTCTCACATGTTATATTAGGACGTTTGAACAACAATTCGACTACATAATCATCACAGCTGGCATTGGCACTACTAAGCTTAATTGCAAGAGCACCAAGAACAATATATTTTTTATTGCAGTTCTCAATATATGGGCAAACATTTTCTTCCGACTCAATGGCAGGAACGTAAAATGGTCGATTATATTTAAGTGCTTTGCCCACAAGGCCTTCTCCTTCTTCATACTTCCATTGGGGTAGGTTCTCTTCCTTTAAGATACGAGGGTAAGTGACGTAAGCAACATCCTCAAAGCATAAAATAGGTTTAACTGGAAATGGAGAGCCCCTTTCATGGTGGGGATATGCCGGACGGTTTGCCCACATCAGACTATCTTTCACCTCATACTGTCTACATATATTCTGCAATATGTCACGTATTTCAGCTAAAGAAGCCATACGAACCAAGTAGAGATCCTGCCAATAATTAAAATTTAAACATATGAAAAGCTAATGATTGCAAACAATTAATTGGTTATTTCAGTTGAATTATTTTCCATGGGGGGCAAAGAATCCAATTCATAGCATTTTTTACAGATAAATGAATTCATATAATCATTTAATTCTCTCTTTCTTACTTATTCATACTTTAAATCTCAGTATGGTAGGTGGCCAAAAAAATATTAATATGGTAAACAGTAATTGAAACAACATTTATAAAATGCACCACGTTTTGTTCTTTTATTACCTACTTTTTTTTTCAATTTTTAATCATTGACTTCTGGGAAGATGTCTACTCAAGCCTACAAGAGTTCTCAATGTTAAATCATCATTTAATTTCAATAAGCTGTTCTAGACTAGTTAAGAAAGGCTTTTATCTCCATCTCATCAATCAGACTTCAATTTCTTGGAAGGCTTATGAAAATGTAGTTTTCTTTAATTATCTACCATTCGAAATTTCGATTGTAACTATAAGTTTTTGTTCTGAATCAGGGTACTGCATTTAGCCTAGTGCGCTCAAGCTAATGTAGAACAAATATGGGCAACAGAACCAAGGGAGAAATGGATTGGGCAATGCAAAATAAATGCTCTCTCCTGAAGGATGAGAAACCCCTCCCCTGTGTGGCCACCTCCAGGAGGGTAATCATGCTGCCATCTCTCTTCTTTCCATCCATCCTTTCTCCTTCCAGTCTATATCCCAATCTTTTTGTTCCCTAAAATCCTCAAAAAAACCCTAAATCATCCTTCTGATTTCTACAAGCTTTTTGTGAATCCTCTTTTGAAAGCCCAAAAATATCGTTGTTCTCTTTCCTTTTCAATCTCAAATCTTAAAACCCAGAATATCTAGCTAATTTTTTCTGTTTTCTCTCAAACTTCAGCTATAACTGTGGTAGGTTAGGTCACTTAGATTCTGTGTTTGGAGAAGAGGTCATGTCTTTGAAGGATCCAAACCAACCTATGTATAGTAAAAGGCTGAGAACTGCATAGGCGAGAGAGACTAACAGGACCCCAGGTAGGGTTAACAATATTTACAAAAGCACTTCAAGTAATTGAAGCCTATTATGCACCCTCGTATTAAGGGATAAAAGGAATGGACCTTGGAATAAGAAGCCTTTTACATCCCCTAACACTTTTGTTAAGCATCACCTAAGACCACCCCACATATGTTAACTGATATTATCCTCATCTAGAAAGAATCCTAAGCTCAAACTTGTCTTCTACCCGTTCTCCACCTAAGGACAATGAACATTTAAATATTGAATATGTTGGTAGTAGCAATAGTGGTTTGGTGGCTGGTAATTCAATGAGTAAGAATCCTCTTGATGCTGTTAACCTGGATATCATTCCTGTTAATGAATCTCTGTTTCGTAATTCAAAGAGGGAGGAGGTAGTAGCCCAAGAAGTATTTGAACGAACCCTAGTCCCAGGTAATGATTGGTAATGATCACCAAGTTTACTTTGTGGAAACACCTGGTGATGAATCTGCACTAGCTGCAAAAGGGTTGGAACATGTTATCCCCAGAAGGCTGCCTAGCAAAATCCCCTTGGACAAGGTGTTTAATGGTTTAAGACTGAAGAGAGGTAGATCAAATCGCCCCACTAGTCCCACAGCAACAAAGTTGAAACCTAGTCAAATTCTAAAATTGAATCCTCTGCTACCCTTGCCTGGCCCTGGGAATGTAATGTTTCCAAAATCTAGTGAGAGAAAGAAAAAACTAAAGAAAGGGAGGCCTGCTGCAAGAATGCGAAAGGTGAGTCCAGGTGTCCAAATTGAAGAATCTCAGTTGTTCAATGTGCCCATCGCAGCAAGTGGCCCCTTTGTTTTAGAGAACAAAAGCTGAGGTCTGAAGGGGTTGGTGGTGTAACACTCCACATACCTTAGTGAATAATTTAAAAATTAGCGTCCTTTAGTTTATAATTTTAGGGATTAAATTGAGTGAATTTAAAGTTTGGGGGCTTTAAGTAAAATTTAGTAGAAGTTGAATGACCATAACTCAATTATCCCAATTTTACTTACCA